TGAAAGGGTAGCAGTCATGGTGAGTGATGTTAGGCCACGCAGATAGCAGTTGGAAGGCAAAAAATATTTTATTAGCTTCACATAGTATATTTAAGACATTTTCTAGCAAAGGCGGAGCTCAAATTCGCACTCAAAAACTGTGTGCTTAAGTTTTTATCTTAGGGAAAGTAGCAAAGGAATTTCCCTCTATTTTATTATATTTGAGGGGAAAAGGGAAATCCCAAGGATTACTATTGGTTTATAAAATAGATCAAGCGTTTCCCACACAGAGCAAAGGGAAAAATGTCCTGCTTTTAATTAAATGCATACTTGAGCCAATTTAATCCTTCCACTCGGCAATGACTATATATATATATATATATATAATCCAATTTATACTATTATTTGACCTGAATGATTTTAGATGCACATATTTTTTTCCAATATCTTGTGTATTGCATCATTTTTATGGTCCCAATCAATGAAATTCTCTAAGCAGGAGAAAAAAATTCCAATTATAAATTGTGTATAAATGTTGTTACACCCCTAAAACTCTTATGAGTGTGACATGTATATGTGTGTGACATCCTACTAATCTCACTTATTACTAAAATATTCTATTCTTTTAGCCAATTTACTGATAAAAGAATACATTTGTGTTTGTAAAAGAACAGAATAGTTGAAAATGAAAACTTTACAAATTTTATAAAGTGAAAAAAATTTCATCAATCAATCATCTATTAAATATGTGAAAATTGCTTGTAATTTATAATTTGTATACATTTTTATGAAATGTTTATAAATAAATTTCTTTATTTTATTTGATCAATTAAAATCTTGCATTATAGAAAGGTGCTGATTGCTCCTATTATGAACCATAAAATGCCCATTTTACTTTCCCAAAAAAATTCGACACTGAAAAGAAATTTTATAAAGTGAAAAAAAATTCATCAATCAATCGTCTAATAAATACATGAAAATTGCTTGCAATTTATAATTTGTACAAATTTTTACAAAAATGTTTATTAATAAATTTCTTTATCTTATTTGACTAATTTTTACTCAGAATTTTAAAGTTCAGTAACAATAATTTAAAAAAAAAAAAAAAGTATTTCTCATAAAAAAATAACTTTCTATACATGTTATGTTTTGAATTGTTTATATTCAATTATGAATATTGTAATGCTTTATATAAAACCTATGTTCCATTTTAGAAAATTTCTTTAAGTCATTCTTTAGTGTAAAATTTGTTAATGTAACAGTATCCCTAACTTTCATTTTTAAGAGTTGGCAGTTCTTTTATATTTGGTAATTCACAATCCATCTGCTGTATATTCATTGCCGAATTGTGAGGTAATTTTTTCTTTAATATTACAGAATAGTTAGCTCACTTCTTAATACAATCAATGAGTTCTGTGACATAGGGACAGTAAAACACGCCCTGAATTTCTTTAAAATGGTAAACATTTGCTTGTCTCCCAGTTTTTTAAATGTCCAATAAATTCTTTAATACATAATAATGTTATTTTCACGAATTAAAATAATTATGTAAGAAATAACGAACAAAAAAACACAGGCTGAAACTTAAACAAATAACTATTTTTGATTCATCAGAAACTTAGAGAACATTCCAACTGTATCGTATTTGACTAATCTGCTTAAATTTTTTACTTTATAACCCATGGTGAACAGCTGACCCATTTTTGAGTTTATGACTATCAATGCTCAACTTCATAGAATTGTAATTTTGAACGCAACTCAGAAGACAAAGGAATTCTTGGATGAAGTATTGGAATAAATGTGTCTTCGTGGTGGACTTTTTGATGGAACTAACGAGCATTATATAAAAATAAAAACCAAAACCCTGGATTCTCACCCATGATAGGTCTACGACTGAGGATATTTTTCGTGAGCATTGTGGTCAATGGAAGATGGGAGCAGAATTCTTATCGACCAGCCATCGGGGGGGATTCAAACCTGGGTCTCCTCTATGGAAAGTCATTGCTCTACCTACCGATCAATTGTGGTTTGATCTATGGAAATTGCTTCTCCATTTTCAATATCAGATCAGATTCTCAATTTTCCAATGAATTTTTTGTATTAATTTTTATTTAAATGGAAAAGTTACAATACAGTCGGTGCAGTGCGAGATTATATTTTTTATTTAAAAGTAAATGTTTATTATAAAAACATTTTATTTATCACAAAGTAGTTTGTTTTCATAAAATGAAAGAAAATTTGTCCAGCTTCTGTTATTTAAACATATTGAATATTTTCTACTTTTTCCATACAGCCATGGTTTTAGAAATCGCAGTGCGCTTCAGTTGCACCATGTTACAGAACTCCCTATAATGTTTTATTTTATTTATTATTATGTTTTATTTATGTAATGTACGCATTCTTATAGTTTGTATGATTTTAGAAGTTCTATGACCTTGAATTGAGAACAACCCCTGAATTGTCCCAGTCATCTGTTGAATTGAACTATAAAAATGGCTGTGAAATTGAGACTCAGAGATTAATGCCAAATGATGTCAAAAACTTTTATAAAATCACCTTAGAATTCCAAGTAATGTTAAAATTTTCAACTATTTCTCTCACTTTGCATTTATTACTAACTATTCATATCAACAACAGGATAAATTGTCACTCATAACTTTTCATATTCATTTAATTTCATTGTATTGGTTAAAAGATTTCAGATTAATTGCTGAAGACTATGTAATGACTATGTAATTCATTGAAAGAAAAGCAATTTTTTTTAAATATATCCTTATATTTTTATTTATTTTTTTGCATGTAATATAATTTTTGTGTTTTGTTAACCATCTCGGACTTATTTTTTAAAGCTTTTTCATTTTAATAAATTGATGCGATGTGCAAGCTAGTCAAAATTTTAAATTTTGATAAAGTTCATTTAAAATTGGATTAAAGTCTTAGTGGCTGTTTTAAATTCGCAAAAGGTTTCCAAAAAAAAAATTTTAATCAAAACAACGAACTTCACTTTTTTCTTAAAATTCAACTGAGGCAAATCAAAACTTGAATTAAAAGAAATATATTTCCATTTTTTTAAAAAGAATTTTACTCAGAGATGAATAGTTGTGTCAGAAAATGTTGTAATACAGAGTTTCCTCAACCAAACTTTAATCTCTAGATTTTTGGCAATGATTCTCAAAAAAAAAATATGTTTTAAAAAAAACTTGATCATTTTTAATTTCAAGCATGCAGAAAAAATGGAAAACATGGATTTAATTGATTCATTTTTTCCTAATTTTTGAAACTAATACTTATGTTTGGGTTTTGATCAAATTTAAAGATTTAATGATCAATGAATAAGGTTCATTTTTAAATAAATCTTAAAGTAATTTACTCATTTTGATATTTTTTATAATAAAAAAATTTTTAGTGCAAATGTTTTTTAATCTTTTATTTATTTATTTTTGTTTACATTTGTTTTAATTTTTGCCTTCAAATTAAGATGTTGATTTTTTTTTCTTCAAAATTTTGAAATTAGTAATTTTATCTTAAGTTTGTATGCCTTGTAAGTTGTTAATATCATATTGGAGAAATTAATTTCAGATAATAATTTTTTCTCTTCTAAAACTACACTATCTGGCCATTAATGACCGGACACCCCTCATTTCGGATACATGAGGTGCTAGTATCAAATCAGTAGGGCGTAGGGCCGCCACGCGCCTAAATCACTGCTTTAACCCTTCTAGGAAGGCTATCCACTAGGTGTTGGTACACGGCGGCAGGTATTGCCCGCCATTCCTCCTGTAACATGGCGAAGAGTTGAGTGGTGGTTTTGGGGCATTGTGGTCTGGCCCTCAACCGGCGCTCCAACTCATCCCAGAGATGCTCAATTGGATTGATGTCGGGACTTTGGGATGGCCAGTCAAGCTCTTGCACCTCCATTTCATCAAACCAATCCGTGATGGCATGTGCTTTATGAATGGCAGCATTATCGTGTTGAAACACAAACGGGCCATTACCGAACTGTTGCAACAGGGTGGGCAGCGCCGAATTGTCCAGGATGTCTCTATACCCTTCTGCGTTCAGGGTTCCACGCACTAACACCAAGGCTCCAAGGCCAAACCATGAAAAACAGGACCAAACCATAATTNCACCACAGGCTCCGTATTTATTCCACCAGGGCGAGTCCACCTGCCGTTCAAGGGGTGTCCGGTCATTAATGGGTAGATAGTGTATTTCGAAATACCCAAAAACTCTAAAACAGTTGACCTAAAGTTTAAAAAATGGTGATTCAGACCTTTTTAAAGCATTCGGCCTATTTCCGTGACAAGCTTATTGTAACTTGCATCTTCCAATGAAGTAATTGTAAATCTTATAATTGGATTAAAGGTTAAACTTTTCTGCAAATCTTGTTAAATTTCAAGATAAATTATTTTACAGGATTTCTGTGCCTACTATTGCAGTATGGGAATACTCGTTCCATGTAAAAGAGAATTAGGAATTATTAGGCATGGAAATGCATGCTATGGGTTCTCCACAATGGACGCATTTGAATTCTTCGAAAAGAAACCACTGGATTGTCTGAATGCCATAAAGCAGCATGTACTCTCCATGCCTGAACTCATCCTAACTATAGGCATGGAGAAAATCTTCAATCTATCTATCACAGTAAGTCTGATTTGAAGTTTAGTTGTTTTTATCTTATTTTAAAACCAGTGTCGAACAATTTTTTTTTTGTCAATTTCATAGCCTTGTAATTTTGATGGACAAAGGAGCACCTGGATAAAGCATTGACTCAAACTAGCCTTTTTATAACCGTTATTGAACAGCCGACCCGATTTTGGGTTTATGACTACTAATTTTCTATTCCGTAGATTTGTAATTTTGAACCCAATACAGATGACAGAGGAACTCTTGGATCAGGTATTGAGATAAATTTGCTTTCATAGAAGACTTTTTGATGGAACTAACCCGCACTTGCGTTACATGGAGAGGAAAACCACGAAAACCTCCCATGGTTAGCCTGACGGCAAGGGGACTCTCGCCCATGATCCATCTACCACTGAGGATATTTTTAAGTCTGCACTGTGGTCGGTTTTGAGCTGGGTGTGGAATTTGTATCGACAAGCCATCGCTGGAATTCGAGCCCAGTTCACCTCATTAGAATGTGAACTCTCTATCCCCTGAGCCAACTAGATTTTGTTTAGAACTTTGTGATGGAATAAACCTGCATTTGCGTTACATGGAGAGATGGATCACAGCATAGTCCCCACGCTTATCCCGTGATCTGTCTACCACTTATCATATTTTGCATCAGCACTGTGATCGGTGCCAGCTAGAAAAAGAATGCGAATTGTCCAGCTGTTGCTGGAATTCGAACTTGGTTCACTTCATAGTGAACATTTTATCTCCTTAGCCACCCTGGTTCTAATTTAAGTGTTAAAATTAAATTGTAGTCACACTTCTATTACTGATAGACTATCTTATAAAGGGATAGACAGTTTTATGTCCACGCCTTTTGATTTGGTCCTTTAATTGTCTCAAATATTAATACGAATACCAATGAGAAAAGGTAGCAAAATATATTTTTTGACAGTTTTCTGTGAAAGCTAAGATGTAGTTTAGCTTGTCTCAGAGTGCCAGATTCTTACCATTGTGTTTATGGTTAAGAACTCAGCATGAATGAAATAAATGAAAAACTATGAAATTTAGTTATTGGTTTCTAATGAATTTTAAAATAATAGTAGGAAAGAAAATTTCCATAACCAAAAATAATAAATAGTAAAAAATAAAACATTAACACTCCAATCATAAACATCACATTAATCTGATACTGTATTGGAAACTTCAATAACAAATTCTAATTCCTGAATAATTATAACAGTGGACTTTTGTGACAATTAAAAAAATTTGAATTTCTATCTTCTTTTATTTCAATATTTGTCACAATAAATATTTTTATAATTATATTTACTCATTTACATTAGATTTTTTTTATTTATTGTCTGCACGCTTGTAAAAAAATTTAAATATACATGCATAAATCATTATTATTACTTTCAAATAGAATCTAAGCATTCACTCTGCATTTTTTGCGACTACATTATATGAGCCTTTAGTGCCTGGACCCTGTGCACAATATCTGAAGAGATATTAAATATATGTTATTGATATTTATTTTTAACACTGTTATCAATAGTTGATCTGCATACTAAGTTTTGTGAAATATTATTAGTCTGATTTATTGCTTTAATGAGCTAAAATATTTCAAATTCTATGCTATATTAAAATGAATAATATGATTCGAATTCAATGTTCTTGCCCATTTTCAAAATAAACTATTAGTATTCAATTCAAGGTTCATAATTTAGAATTTCTTTATTGCTGTGAGAGGTAATATTTTAATAATTTATACAAATTTTACAAAAATTTCAGAATTTTTTTTTTAAAAAAAGGTTACTTTTTTTAGTCAAGACATTTTAACGTTGAAAATTAAAAACGGTATATTTTTAAAAAAGGTCACTAAACCGAAAATTTTGAATCTAAGTTCACCATTGTCAGGCCTTAAATACAACTTCAAAGTGTCACTGTGGTCAATTTTATTTAGACGTTTTAGTGGACACATAATTATTTAAAAAATGCATAAATTCATACATATAATTTGTACCCTCAAATTATCTCTGGTTGTACCTCATACAAAAAACTACTCCCTGCTGTCTGCAAATCTACAAGTAAAAAATTCTGTGTTGTGAACATATTTCGTGGGCATACTTCTAATTTAATACCACTCAACTTTTCTAATACTCTCTATATAACAAATACTAATTGAAGATAAATGATGCCCAACACATTATTTTTTTAAAGTTTTGGTTTAATTTCAGAACGTCTTCAGCTCCCGACATATTCGACCTATTTCAATTTCAGACAGTAGTGCTCAGACGATGCTTCATCCATTGGAAGAAAAAATAGTTCACAGCTATCATTGGAATCAGTGGAAATTGAGGAAAAAAGCATTACAAGCCGTAAGATGTTTTCATTTTCTATTCATGTAGAATGATTCCTAATATCTGCCCTTTGCATACATTTTTGGATTAGATTTTTTATCAAAAAATTCGAAACATGTGAGATTTCAAGTTAATTTAAGCAGAGAAAAAAACTAAAAAAAGTTCTTCAACCTCAATTTTATAAATGTTAATTTTCTTAATTTATTTGGTTAATTTTTTTAAATGTTAACTTTTTTTTATAGTTATGTTTTTTTTTATCCCTATCATCTTTAATTTTTAACTCTGCCCTATATGTTTATTTTCGAAAAGTAAGCAAAAGTGAATTTAAAAGTTGAAAATGAAACTATCATTACAAATATGCTACAAAGAATTCATTTCTGACAAAATATTAAGGGGAATCGTCTAAAAAATGAATAAAGGCAGTCTATATCATAAAGTTTTATCCCTATCATTTCTAAATGTGTGGGAGCAAACATGTGTTTACAGAAGTAGAATTATAACAATGTAATATCGAAAAAAGTTTTATAACATCACCTATGAAATGGCCATTTTTTTCTCACATAAATAATAATTGAGTACAGTTTTTGTTCATATCTGTATTTATTTTAGGTGGACCTTATGGATAAAAAAACTCATTCAACACAAACAGATACGAGCCATTTTAGAAGAGAAAATCATAGCCAAGTCTATTTGCCTAAGTGAGTTTTCCATGGCTTTATAGTCAATACTCAAAAAAGAAATAAAAATATTGCATGTTAAATAACTGGTTGAATTTGTATTTATAAAGACAAGTTGAAGTGATTGAATTAAAAAGCTGACTTATGATACAGAAGTTAATTAATGTCAAAGTTAAAAACAAGAGGGAACTTTCTTACGTAAGCAGGGAAAGGGATTATGGTTTGCTAATTTTTGCTGAAAAGGAGGAGGGGGGAATCCAAAATTGCGAAATATGTAATATTGAAATGACCCCCTAGTGGTAAAAATATTGAGTTCGACCCTCGGGGCGGGCAAGGTTGACTCAGCCTTTCATCCCTTCAGTGAATCGATAAAATGAGTACCAAGCATGCATGGAGACTAAACACTGGCGGTTCCGCGTTCGGCTGACCACCCAAGCGGAACATCTGCTCCGACACCCCCGAGTCCAAGGTCATGAAAACTGAGATGGGTAGAGCAGGCCTTGGCCCTCTATGTGCTGTCGTGCCACTCAGTTTAGGTTAGTGGTAAAATATAAAATCTCAATAAACATGGCAGGTCCAAATTTGGGCTCCCTAATTCATACTAAAGTTATATTCCATAAAGTGGAGTCTCTCTGTAACATTACCGATTGGTCCCAGTTGAAAGGTTCACTATAGGAAAAATTTTGTTTTACCGAGGTTAAAAATTTTAGTAGGGTGACCCGGGGTAATTCACGATCACTCTGTTTCTGGGGTAAATAATAATCACCTAAGTTTTATTTTAATTAAACTTAGGTGATTATTATTAATTTAAAAAAATTATAAAAAAATAATTTTAAAAAATTATTTTTTTCTAAATTTGAGACATAGACAAGAATGCTTGTACACTTTACAAAAGTATAACTACATTTACTTAATAATAGCTTTTTGTTTTATCTAACAAAATAAGTATCTTTTAAACTGCTTTCTGTATTTTCCATTTCAAAGATGGGTTTCAAAATGTGCATATTTCTGCAAAGATCCCCCTCATTCTCTTAATAATGAATATTTTGAGTTAGTTTCTTTTTCTTTGATATAAAAGTAGTGGAAGCTTTTGTTTAATTGTTTCACATCAACTGTAAACATTATAATTGATTATAGGAAACTATATCAAATGTTGCCCCCTACAGATGGGGTAATTATTGATCACTGGGGTAATTCCTGATCATTGTAATTTCTTCTCATAAATAGTATATAAAATAGCTTATAAATAGCTAATTGTCTTTTCTTAAATAACAGTTCATATTTATTAAGTGGAATTTTTGTTTTGAACAAAATTTGTTTTTAACTGTATACAAGACTGTATTCTGATTTGCACCATTTCTGGTTTGTCTTATCTTGCTTCTATCTTAATTTTATGTGTGTACATCGTTAGAATAATTTTTTAAGTTTATAAATTAGCCTAGTATAATTGTTAGAATAATTTTTAAGTTTATAAATTAGCCTAGTATAAATATGGTGAGAAATTATAAGCCTAAAAAGGATACTAAGCTTCTAGAAAACAAAATTAGTGAATTTCTTTTTATGATTGAAAATGAAAATTTCAATATGAGAGCTGCAGCCAGAGCTGTTGGTATACCTTACTTAACTTTACACTTTCCCTTAATGAAGTTAAAAAAAATCCAGCAAAAGTAACCCATGTGGGAACTCTCTTATATTTCAGAAGAACATGAGAATGAGTTGGCTGAGTGCCTAAAATGTATGGCACGATGCAAAGAGTTTTGAAAATTTAAAGTGTTAATCGTTCTTCTTGCTTTTAAATTAATCGTTTTATTAGCTGCTTAAACATATATTTTTGGTTTATTTTTTGATCTTGATGTCTTATTTGTTTACCATTTATGTCTTATGTCTTATTTGTTACCTTTGTATAATTACCATTATACAATTATTTTCAAACAGCCCCTTTACAATAAAAACTGGTGATCAGTAATTACCCCAGAAATGATCAAGACCAGAGGTAATTCCTGATCACTAAAAATTTAAAATCTTTTAAATTCTAATTAGATTTTCAAACAAAAAAAAGTTAGCGTAGGACTCATCTCATATAGCCTCAAACTTCCAGTAAATATTAAAATTCCATTTTGAATAGTTTTTTCACAAAATAGATGTTTGCATTTTTTGATCAGGAATTACCCCAGGTCACCCTAGTTTTTTTAACAAAAAAATTTCTGAGGAATAATTTTAAAACTACAGAGATATGCAAAAGTCTTCAGCCAATGCATTTTTATAATTTCTTTTAGCATTTGGCTGCATATATATATATAACTAAAAATATATGTAAATTGTTTATAAGATGCAAGTAAAAGCTGTTTTGCCTTAAAAACATAAGGCTGTTTTAAAACACAAGTAATTTTTATTCGTTTTTTTTTAATCAAATTAAAATGATAATATAGTGATCGGAGACTTTTGCTTGCCACTGTATATCATTATGACGCTCGTTAAAAATTGAAGCTGATACATATTATTAATCATATTATCATATTAAAGTGCTTTTCATATTAAAGTACTTTGTGTTCTACAGATCCTTTTATGAATCTTTAAACTTATATACTAAGCAGCGCAATATTTCTGTGAAACAGATAAATATTAATGCTAAAAAGTAGTTTTCAAATATAAATACCTTAAATCATAAAAATGTACTTTAACGTAATTATTACATATGGAAAAAACTAAAATTATTAAGAACATTTGAAATAAAACTCAACATATTTATCGATGTTGGTTTGCTATAAGTATTGTAATGTTAACGCGGTATATAGACAGTGGCGGATCCAGCGGGGGGAGGGTCATAGGGATCATGACCCCTACCATGACCATGGATTTGTACCCGCCAATCAATATGTTGTTGAAAATTTTAATAACTCTACCAGTTAGTGCAGCAACAGCAGAACGCTCCTTTTCAACTCTTCAACGTCTCACAACTTGGCTTAGAGCAACTGAAAATCAAGAACAATTAAATGGACTTGCATTATTAAACATTCATCGAGAAATTTATTTGGATGTTGAAAAAATCATTGACAAATTTGCCCAAGTTTCTATGAAACGCGTTACATTTATTATTTAAAAATTTTGAATACTTGAATTATTTATGTATTGTTCTATTGTTCATTACGAAAAAAATAAATGAGAAGACTAACATTAAAAACCACAGTTTTTTTTTTTTTTTTTTTTTTTTTTTTTTTTTTTTTTTTTTTTTTTTTTTTT